TAAGAAGGGACTTTGGGAGCCATCCCACATGGAGGAATGCTCTCTCAGCCTGGACATATGGGGGATGGTCTAGGCCCTGCCCAGGATGATATGACCGACTTTGGGGAATCCCCATGGAGGGCCTTACCCTCCCTGGGGAGCAGAGGGGGGATGAGATGGGGGCTGGTGGTGGGTTGGAGGGAGGAGAGGGAGAGTGAGAAGGAATTGACATGTGAAGCAGCCTTGTTTCTAATTTGATCTAATAAAAAATAATCTCAAAAAAGATCCCTAGTATTTTGATAAACAAATAGCGAGAGAATCTATATGATAAAAGTATTCCAACCTGCCTTCTTAACAAAAAAAAAATGTTATGCAAACATTCCTAATGAAAGATAATTACCATGAAACTGTCATTGCTCTTTCTTAGTTTACTACATGCACATACACATACATGTCCACATGTCCATAAGTGAAGGTACACACATGCACACATAAAGTACACACATGCAGTGTCATGCAGGTAAAAAGTTAACAATTTGCTTTCCGGAGGCAACCAGTGTGATTTATGGGTTCTGCCAGCTTCCATGTTGTAAATCTTCCCTGGTTAGTTTCAAGTAGACAATCTGAGATCAATAAATTCTCATTAGAAAAGAGATGTACACAGTTATTCACATAAGCTGGCAGAGCCAGCTTCAGCTGCCATCCAGTCTGTGCATGACACATACAAATACATCATACATACATGTGTCATGTAAGATAGAATACATATAATCTACCCAGTATTTTTTTCTGTAAATCATCAAGTAAAATGTATAACCTACTGTTGTTTGAGCTATAGATTGGGTAAGCTTGAGAGCTATAGTTTATAGAATATGTAAAATTAGGCAATTTTTTATTGGTACAGGTAGTTGGAATGGTTAAAAAAGGATCTTAACTCTCAGGTTAACTTAACTGGTGTTCTTTAAAAATAACTATTCATAAACTATACTAATCAGGCCCACAAAAAAAAGGTTTATGGATGTGCATTTTCCAAAACAAATGAATAAACTGTCACATTTAAAAACCAGACAGCCTTATCTAAAAACTGAAAAACATGCCCTAGCAAGAGCATATATTAGTAACTTAGCTCACCCATGTTCATGGATATAAACAGAGTACATAAATATGTATAAGTGTGGTGTATGGAGAGAAAGAGAGAGAGAGAAAGATAATAGAGATCATTTAGACCCTGTATGATACACAAAGATGAATGTGTACAGTTGGCTCAATGAACTTGTAATAAATAGCAGATAATAAGAAAAGTGCCATATGTCTGCAACACAAGAGCTAGTAGAAAATGCAGAAAGATCTTATTTGGGGAGAACCATGGAAACTTTTTTTGGACAAGGTGGTGTGGAAAAGAAATAACCTGAAGTGAAGATGACTAAAATGAGTTCTGCAAACCAGCGTCCACCAAGCCTGAGATGTGAGGTTGTCCTTTGTTACCTATTGCCACTTTACACTCTTAATAACTGTGAGGAAACATGTTATGGTGATTATAACTGTACATGATCCTCTCTGTCTCAACAGGGAACACCTCAAGCCTGTGAGATTCTGTCTGTGAGGTCCTTCCGAAGCAGCAGTCAGAGCATGAATCTAAGAAGATACAGACTTGCAATGATTACCTTCATTGTAAACTTGACTGGGTTTAGAATAAACTAGGACATAAAAGACACACCTCTGGCATATATGTGAGGACATTTCCAGGGGAGGAACTGAGTGGTAAAGACCCAGATGAGTGTTGGTGGTGCCATGCCATAATAAAATATAAAATGAAAAATACCAGGGACATTAGCACCCCCTTTCTCTGCTTCCTCTCCATCCATGATGTGAACAACTCTACCTCTGTGACCATACCTTGATGACTCTATTTCTGTGAAACTGTGAAGTGACACAAACCCTTCCTTCCTCAGTTGTAAGGTGTTTTCAGTCACAATGACTGGGTGCCACAATGGCTGTGGATGCAAATTAGTTACTCAAAGAGGAGTATTAATATGATTAATTAATGCATCATACATCCTTTGCACAAGAACAATTTGCCAGGTGTGTGAAATGTATAATTTAGAAGTAAGACATTCAATTTTGTTCTCTCTAAAATCGGCATTTCCAGCCTCCACTCTTGCCACCATGAGGTTGAATGCAGTTACAGCTAAAAATAAACAATCATATTTATGAAACTCTTTATAGCTAGGACATAAGACTCAAGAAAAAAGTGGATGACATTAACACATGCAAGGGGATCTTGCAGGTAGTCGTCAAGTGTATTGTCAGGAAAACCCATACAGGTTCAAAGGTGTGTTAGCTCTGCAGGGATTTTACACACTGGCTTTATTCTGAGCCATTTTATCAGATAATTATACCACTGCCATGCCAAACTTGGAGAGTTTAATGCTGAAAATAAGTGTGAAAAGAGATTCTGGCTGGAGGAATGAATTGTTGACCTCTATGTTAACCTGGTGATCCAGAGAACAAGGAGGATTTACACTTTGTTGAGTATCATTTACCCTTGACCAGACCATGTCATATTATTTCATTGGCATCTTAAATTTAGTTTTATAACAACATTATGCTGTAACAGCTAGGAAATAGGAACAACCTAAATGTCCTTCTACAGAAGAATGGTCATAAAAAATGGTACATATATACTAAGGGGTGCTATTCAACTATAAAGAAAAATGAACTTTGCAGGTAAATTATGGAACTAGAAAACATCATCTTGGGTGAGGTAATAGACTCATGCTCTCTGATTAGAGGCTCCTATCTCCAAATCTTCAGATGGGAGTAACTGGAACAACTGGAGAGACAAGGAGAGTGGGCAGAAACTGTTGAGGGGAGGGGTTAGGAGTAGTAGAGAGGGGACTAATGGTGTACAAGCGATCTGATTGGGAAATAGGGACAGGGAGGGCTCTAATTATGGAGAGGGGAAGGAAATAAACACAGAGAAAGGAAGGAAGGAAGGAAGGAAGGAAGGAAGGAAGGAAGGAATAAAATAACAGTGAAGACATCTGAAAACATGATAAAGAATCATAATACTAACTCTCTACCAAAAAATCCTTAATACACTTAAGTCTGTCTCTAAATATGCATATATAATTAAAGTGAAATTTTCTCATCTGGGCTGACAGTGCTCCCTCCATGAGCACAAAATGAGTAGGAAAAAAACACACTACCAGGTATGAGAAGTATTTTATTTTTTATTTTGAGTTGATGGTCAGGGTTATCCAAAAGACTCCCCTAACATTCCAGGGTATTGCTATTGCCCTTGGCTTTCCCCAGAGATGGATGTCAGATCCCTATGGCTGAAGACACCATGTAGTTCACACATATACCCAGAGACCCCTAAGCTAGAACTGGCTTGAATGCCCCATCTGAGGACTAGCTTTCATGGTACCATGTGAGCTTCCAAAGGAGGGAAGCCACCAATAGTCCTGCCCAGCTTTGATGCTGATGAACCATGACAACAATCTTCATGGCATGGTAATTTGAATGCCCCATCTGAGGACTAGCTTTCATGGTACCGTGTGAGCTTCCAAAGGAGGGAAGCCACCAATAGTCCTACCCAGCTTTGATGCTGATGAACCATGACAACAATCTTCATGGCATGGTAACACTAAGACTGAAGTAGTAGTAGTATGCTCACTTTGGTGGTAAACAACAGCTCTATAATTTGACTTAAGCCACACCCAACAAGAAGGAAATCGTACCTGGTACTGAAAACCTAGCCAACTCCCCAGAGCTAGTGAAGTCATGGATCTTCGAGGAGAACCTACAACTTCATTTTTATTAAGCCACCATAATTCCTAACTACACTCTAAATATTTCTCCTTATACCAACAGATCAGTGTAGTCCTCAACCCTCATCAAGGAAACTTCTCTTTCCAAGAGACAGAGACCATTACAGAAAACCATAACTAAAATGCAAAGTTGTAGATCGAAGCCCCAACATACACATCTACAAACAATTCCCACAGTTAAGGCTCACGAACCATTGCAGAAGAGGGAGTTTCAGGCTGTAAGAGCCAGAGGATCAGGGAGTTTGCTGTGAAACTGTGTCCTGGCGATGTCAGAAGTGACAGCCATAAGGTCTCGCTGACCTTATGACTTACTGAAAAAGGACATCAATAGCCATGTCATAGTAGACAGGGAAAAGTCCAGGAGGCCTCAACTGTTGCAATTTAAGAAAAGCAGCGCCAGGAAGAGAAATACGCCATGTGACAGGGTTCAAGCAGAGGGTTTTTTATTAGGGAAAGGGATCATAAAAAGGGGGAAGGGTAGTAGGGAAACCAACCTCCGGAGACAGGAGCAGTAGGAGAGAGGAAAGGGGGAGGGAGAGAAGAGAGAGGGGGAAACAGACAGAGGGAGAGAAAGAAAGAGAGAGGGACGGGAGGTGGACAGGAACCTTTTCAAAGGGAACATAGGGAATGTGCACACGTGGTGCTCTTAGTGGCTGCAGCTGAGAATATCCTGTCAGAACCCCAAGGACAGGACAGTACAAATGCCTAAATACTAACATCAACCCTACACAAAGAACTATAGGCAACTAAGAAATACTGAGTGGGAGGAATAGCCCCAGGGAAGAGCACACCAATTGGTTATCCAATACCAAATGGCCAGCTATGAACATGTACATAAAAGTTACATCAGATAGGCTGAGCTGTTTATATTTGGGAATGTATATCTACACACCACACACACACACAAAAAAAAAAAAAAAACACGCACACAAGTGCACACTATAACAATTAATGAAATAAGAGGTCATGAATTTGTAAGAGAACCAGAAGGGATATATGAGACTTGGAATGGGAAGGGAGAATTATTGTACTTATCATAATCTCAAAAATAAAAGTTTAGAAAAACAACAACACTGTGCTTGTATATTAGAATCAGAATTACCAGAATGGTTTAAAAAAAAAAAAAAGATAGGTGCAAGATAGGGAAATGGTCATAGGATATCTGTTCCCAGGCTCTGTTAGCAATTTTGTTCATGACCACGTCCCTCAAAGGCCAGGAAAATACACAAATACTATCATTTCGGTTATTCACAGAGAGTGAGTACCTGAAGGAGAGGGCTGTCCTTTTACTACGCCATTTTTAGTCTTTTCTTCTGAGTTCATTACTTCCTTGTAGATGAGTTCTGTAAGAAACAATTGCCCATGTTATTATAACAGAAAAGCAAAGACTTCCTTAATCTACAGAGGCACTAACTAAGAACAAAAAACATTTCCATGGTTCTTAATAGATTATTAAATCACTGAGGATTTTCAATCTTCCATTTCTGTATTCCCTTGCACTGAGCATGAAGCTTAGCTGAAGCAGGTCCTTGATACAGCAGTTAAGTAAGTGAATGTCTAGAAATAAATAAATTACCATTTTCTGAATTGATCGTGATGGACACCCGAGTACAAGGACTTAAATAACCTTGCTTGCTTGCTCACGTGTTCCTTGGTTGGCTTTTGCAGTATTGGGGTTAATACCCAGGGCCTCCTGTGTGCTAGGAAATTACCCTCCTTGGACTGTATTCCCAGCCAATGCTTTCACTTTTGGGTGTTCTTGTTCCCTTTCAGAGTTAGTGCTTGCATGCAAATCCTATGAACTTTACATTGTAATCAATCCTTACAACTTCTGTCTCTAATACCATCTTTCTTCAGGACTTCTATCATGGGCTTGTAAACCCAAGCACAACAGAAACCTAAAAATTAAAAACTCATTTTGTTCGTCCTCAGACTGGCAGCCAATTTTTTTTCTTGTTGCTGTAGATCAGCCTAGAGATGGTCTACTTCTTTATGTTGCCAGATTTAGTTAAAAATTATTCAGTCCTACTCATTCTTTCTTGCAATGGTTTATACATCACCATCATCTAGAGATACTTCTTCCTCCAGTTTAGCACATGTCCTGTTCTCACTTGCTACCTCACAAGCCACAATAATGACTTTGTGTTTCACTTAGACCAAAACAACCCTTCTGTACCCGCCATCTGCCATCAGTTTCTCCCTGATGCCACTTTCATGGGCTTGTTTTTCCATGTTCACCAGCGCATCTCGGTTCTTTGGCCAGTGGCATCTCTTTATAATACCCTGTGCTAATTTCTAACATCGGCTTCTCCTTGAATCCTCCATATGGCATTTTCCTTTTCTCAACTTGTATGATGGATTCTTTAAAACTTGATCAAATTTTCCTTCCTTTTTTGTTTCTGCTCATTGTAGTTCGACCATGTGACACCATCTGTATTTGGATTCCTCGAATCCATTCTTCTCTGTAATTGAGTATATTAGTTTAACAATTCTTTGTAGGTTTAACTCCATTTTCTCTTTCGTTTCTTCCTCAGTATAAATTTGAAGCTACAGTATGCATTTGGAGAAGTTTTGCTGAAAAAACTGGAGGGATGTGTTCACAGTTTTTATTTTGGTGAAGAATAAGCTTATAGGTTCACATATATTCTACTTAAACTTACCAATCTTGTAAATTTTGTAAATCAATTTATATGTTAGCTATATTTAATTTTTTAATACTTAAAGTACTTTTCAAACTTGTTTTGTGTATTTGGGGGAGGGGAGGCACAGTCAGGGAATAGCTTGTAGAAGTGGGTTCTCTCCTTCCACGTGTAGGTCCAGGGACTAAATGAGGATATTCAGAGTTAACATTCTCTCCATTGATCCATCACTCCATGTTTAAAACTTAATTTTAATTTTATATACAAACATGGGAGCTTAATTTTTAAGTATTAAAATGAAGCTTGACCCTATGACAAACACTTTGGCAATCAATACTGTTTTGCAAAGGTGCTCATAGTTAAATTCTTTTTAGTCTTAAGTAAATATAACTTTTCTGTTAACATAGAAGATTATCTTTAGGAAATTACAAAATAATTACTTTCTCACTTGTATTTCCTTCATTTATTGCATTATTCATTTATTTAGTCTAGAGACTAAACTCAGACTGGGCAAACACTGATTGAACCCCTACTCCAGTCTGATAACAAGCCAGAGAAACTTCACTTTTTAATGAAGTGTTGCACAAGAGGAAGCTGTAGATGCTTTCTTTGTATCAACTATACAGAGTAACAGGATAGTTTTTATATCATGATTCCAGGAAGGCAAAGAGTACACATGAACACAGCACAGTCACCTTTCCATTCTTCAATCGTGTGCTCCCTTTCATCCAGCTGTTTGTCATATATCTGAGGAGGAGGCTGTGGGCCAAAGACACACATTTTTTTATGACAATCAAAACATGACCATACTCTCATAATTTGTGAAAATGCCTTGCCACTCATTGATTTTGGTGGTGGCCATACCCTTATATAAGTTGTGGGGAATTGTAGTAGCTCAACAGTTAAATTTCCCCCAAAAAAATTCATGCAAGATTTACTTACATATTGCTCGCTAATAAAACAGCAGAACTCATACCTAAAAATTTTACTTCCCAGTGCCTTCATCTCTAACCCCCAAAGAGGGACAAGGGGCTGTATTGAATATTTGCTTGCAAAGACCCAGAATCAATGTTCTCTGATCACGAAGCCTGCACTGAAACTCTCCCAGATCAACAGGCCTTGATTCATTTTCAAGCTACTTTAAAGACTCTCCTATGTTGCTCAGGAAAACACAGCTTAAGTTCCCAATGCACAGAAGGATTTGGAGTAAATTAACCTTTTATTTTTCTTGAGATATTATAATATGCTTTAGACGTAGCATAGCACCCTGTCTTGAAATGGTTCTACTCACTCCCCTCCAGGCAGAAGCAGTTTCTAGTTTACTATAGAAGGGGGGTCACCAAAAACCCCTGAGTGGCCCCTGGGTTGTACTTTCTGAGGAGACTTCAGCCTGACTTAATGATGTCACCATTCTTCCTGTATGGAGTTTTAAGCAGGACAGAAAGTTTCCACAGTAACACACTTACTAAGATGGCAGTTTTCATATAAACTATCTCTCCTCTTGTTCCGAATATGTGGACTCAGGGAAATCCACCATATTAATTAGAAAGCTCTGTAGGGAGAGACCCTGATTACAGGTACTGCTGTATATAGGAGGGTGTAGATAAGGGTGAGGGAGAGCCAGGCACGCTCTCTCTCTCTCTCTCTCTCTCTCTCTCTCTCTCTCTCTCTATCTCTCTCTGTCGCTCCCCCAGCATTGGGAAGAACTCGAGACCGGACTGCTCAGAGCACCAATCCTGGTTACTGGTTCCTCGTAGTGAGTATATATTTCCCAATAAATTAACAGTTAATAACCTATTTCAGATTCCATATTCATCTATAAAGCTCCAACTTGAGTGATGTGACATAGAAAGGCAAACAAATCTTGGAAGAGGACATCAGCGTAAGGTGGAGGAAGGCAGATAAGAGGAAAAATGTTATCCAGAACCTAACAGTACAGAAGAAATTACAGCATTTCTGTTACCATCAAGATGAGGACACCTAGAACCCATTCTTGTCTGGTACTCAAAAAACAATTGTCTTTGGAGAAACTAAAAGAGTTACAGAATCAGAGGAACTCCCACCTATTAGAATACAGCCAGCAGAGCAGTGCTGCTAAGTGGTCAGCACACTGACAGGGAAGCATAAGGAGGCCTTGGCTCTACCCCACAACCCTAGGGAGAATACCTAAAACACTAACTGTGCTAAGTCTGGGGACTAGAGAATTGACAGTGCAATGAGAGCTTCCTGGGGAAGGCCCTTCTCCTTCAAACTAAAAAGGACTTGCAAAGGAACACATTGATTTCCTGTAGCGTGAATCTAATTGGTCTTAATAATAAAAACTGGGAGTCAGATATTGGGGTAAATGCTGAAAGATCAGAGAAGTAAAGGAGCCAGCCACTAGAGAAACTTCCGATGTCTACTGAATCCCCAGACTGAATGGGCTGAGCTCCTATCTCTTCCTGCCATATATTCCTCTCTCTACTCAGCCATATCATTTCCTGTCTCCACCTTCCTAGTGCTGGGATTAAAGGCGTGTGCCCCACAAGTACTGGGATGAAAGTCAGGAGATCCCAAGTGCTGGGATTAAAGGTGTATGTCACTACTGCCTGGCCTCTGTGGTTAACTAGTGGGTAGCTCCATCCTTTGATCTTTGAGCAAGCTTTATTTGTTAGATCACAAACAAACTATCACTACAATTTCCTGGGGGGGGGGTAAAATGGGAGCTATGTTGAATATTCTTGAGACTGCTCTAAAGTAAGCTAAGCAAAGCAGAGTCTGGGTTTGAAGAGGTATTTTGCCACATGGCAGACTGTCTGCTCTATCTCTCCCTGACCTCTCCTTGGGAAGGTGTGAGGCTGTATTAGGCCTACAAGACAGCACTCTCAAACCTTTGGAGCCCCCAGGATTCTGTACTTCCCTGGCTCCTCAATCCTCCCACAAAAGACCAAGCTCAGGATGCTGTGTAACTGGCTTCCCTCAAAGGAGATTTTTCCATTCAGCTTTCAAAATTGAACATGACTCAAGAGTCTAGTTCCTGCCAAATCTCATAAATGTCATTTTCTGCAACAAAGCTATTCTTGGAGTTTCGGTGTGCAGATGTGACTGGTGTCCGAAGCACTAAGCACACAGACTCTAACCGCAAACTACAAAGAGAAGCAAAGTGCTAAGTCTAGAATCTTTGCTTCCAATAAATCAAGAGGGATGCTTTAAACGCCTTTGTGTTTAAGGTTGCTGTTCTAACATATGAGTCCCCTGTTTTAAAAAAATAAGTTTGGGGTTTTGTTTTGATTTGATGTTTTCCTGAAGAGAGGAAGCAAATGTCACCTACCATGGAAGGGTGCATTTGCACAAACATGTCAACTAAATGACAGTATAAAAGAGCTCTTGGCAATAATCAAAAGACAGTAGAGTCATAGCGGACACAGACATGCACTTGTTCTTAGGAAGCAGTCATCAACACATGATGTTCCTTAATAGCCCAGCCTTCACTTGCAAAGGGGATCTTTGGTGTGTGTTAGTGGGTTATTCTCTTTCTCAATCTTAGTAAGTGGGAAGGATTTTCCTTTGGTAGGTAAAATCCTACATAAAAAAGAAACAAGGAACAAGGACAATCTCCCCCCCAAAAAATGGGGACCTGTGGAGAGTCAGACTTTCAGTTTTTATTATTAAGACCAATTAGATTCACGCTACAGGAAATCAATGTGTTCCTTTGCAAGTCCTTTTTAGTTTGAAGGAGAAGGTCCTTTCCCCGGAAGGTCTCATTGCACTGTCAATTCTCTAGTCCCCAGACTTAGCACAGTTAGTGTTTTAGGCATTCTCCCTAGGGTTGTAGGGTAGAGCCAAGGCCTCCTTATGAGTTAGTAAAATCATCATCCATTTATTAACCTAATAAATTCATTTATTCAATAAAAATCTTAGGTGGTGTAATGGTTAGTGTTAATTGTCAACTTGACAGGATCTAGAATCAGCTGGGGTGATGAACATCTTTGCATGCCTTTAGGGAATTGTTTTGAAGTGAAAGCCCCTTCTTAATTGTGTGTAGGACCATCCTGTGGGCAGGGGTCCTGGCCTGTGGCAAATAAAGAAAAAAAAAGCTGAATATTGGGATGTATCCATTAATCCCTGCTCCTAAGGGCCAATATAACACAACAAGCTTCTTCAGGCTCCTTGCCCCTTGACTGCACTCCATGATGGACTGTATCCTTGAACCAGAAGGCAGAATCAGAATAAAGGCTTAAGTGGCTTCTGTCAGAATATTTATTGATATTTTCTCATATCAACTAGACAAGAAACTAAGACTCATACTGAACATGAACTTAAAAATGAGATTTCACAGTGGAATAATTTGACAGCCAAACTCAATGAGCTCACACGTAAAGAGTTTTCCATTCTTCAAAACTGCTACCATGTACAGAAAGATCTTATTAAATTTGAGACAGTGCCTAAAATGTTGGAGAATATAATGAAATATCTTCAATACCAATATTGATACTGCATAGGACTAAAAGAAAAATGAATAGGAGAAAATAGTCAGGTCTTACACTTTCTCTATTTTCTTTGAGATGTTGGAAATGATGATCATTAGTCTCTTTCTATTTAGAATTAAGCTCCTTTATTTCCTGAGGAGCCATAGTTGTCTAGGATGCTTATACACAATTTAACAATCCTCACAGTCAAGAAACTACAGTGAATTTTCAAATATATAACTTGAAGTCACATGACTAATGATATAATTTTTATTAGAATCCAAATGTAAAGAATTATCCAGGTATAGTGGAGTTTATTATAAAAATAAATTAAATTTTAAAAGAGCATAGGAACATAGCCAATGTGGTGACCACATTTCCCACTATTGCCAAAAGAATACCACTTCATGCTCACCGTCTTTTTAGTTATTAGTAGACTTTCCTACCCTCACTATGTTAAGTATGATGAGTTGGAAAGCAAATTGGGATGTTGTGAGATACTGTATTAGAGATCTCAGATACATAATTGCATGACAAATTAAGCATAGATTAATGATTTTGCCTTTCGATATTTATCTGTAACTCAGGCTTAAACTATTGCAGCTCCAAGATTTGCTTCTCCAAGATGGCATGTCAGCATTTTCTTGCAATTTTTCAACTTTTCAGAATGTAGAACTCAGAATTGGGGAAATGACTAAATCGGAGTTCTGAGAGATAACTGCTCTTCGAAAGGGCTCAAGTTCAGATTTCAGCAGCACATCAGATGGCTTGGTGTCACCTGTAACTCTGTCTCCAGGGGATCTAACATCTGCACTGGCCCCCATGGATACCCACAAACACATACAACACACACAGAGAGAAAGACACGGATATACATACACATAAATGAAAATAAACCTTTTTAAAAAAAGAATTTAAGACTTAGCTCCTGGAAGAAATAGTGTAAACAAGTACAAATCCCCACATCCAGCTGGGTTGGGGAGCACAGTCATCATTCTATGCTGGGCTTGATGGTGGGAATCACTTCTTCCTGAAGGGAACTCTTTAATCACTGCCTTCTCCTTCTCTATTTGATCACTGCAAGGTGAAATTTTCTTTTTCTTCTCACTTAATTGTATACCATATATTTAAATAAAACTTCTCTATAGTGTTTCACATGTCAATTCCTAATCTTCTAAGAATCCTAATCTTCTAAATAAATACTGGTTTGGGTAGTTTCATGTACATTATGGAAGACAGTTTGGTGAGTGTCCAGTTGTGTGATGTCTGCTAGCAGTGACTGCTTGCATTCTTTATGAAACACTTTAGGAG